ACTAGGCGCCGATCAAATCAAACCGCCTAATTTGTCTTGAGATCAAGTCACTTCAGATGGTTACTGGAGGATGATCGTTCAGCAGGACTTTTGACCTCAACCGCAAATTCAAGCACGACAATGCTCTGTGAGCTCTGTCTTCACGTACTGCTAAATCATCCCTCCGCTCCCATCCAAAAAAAGTGAAAAGCTTTTTCAAAAGTCCTCATCCTAACCTTTCTAAGGCAGCGTCCAGACTTCGCGACGGCAGCGCTTCGGTCGCGCGTTCGGCGCGATCGATGCGCATGCTTTCGACTGCATCGATCGCGCTGAACACGCGACCGAAGCGCCACCCTCGCGAAGTCTGGACGCTGCCTTAGAAAGGTTAGGATGAGGACTTTTGAAAAAGCTTTTCACTTTTTTTGGATGGGAGCGGAGGGATGAGTTAACAGTACGTGAAGACAGAGCTCACAGAGCATTGTCGTGCTTGAATTTGCGGTTGAGGTCAAAAGTCCTGCTGAACGATCATCCTCCAGTAACCATCTGAAGTGACTTGATCTCAAGACAAATTAGGCGGTTTGATTTGATCGGCGCCTAGTGGGGTTTGTGATAAGATTATAGGTTCAGGAAGCGTACAGTATCCCAGTACCCCCAAAATTGCGCGTGAACTTAAATGTGTCGGACCGTGACGCACATAAGTGGGCGTACAGTGGGGCTACATTTAGTACAGCACATGGGATACGGTAGGTCTAGCCCGGAAATGTGGTGCTCTTAAAAGATTCTCACTTCTCACCTACCATGCCCCTTGGCAGATTCGCCTGTGGGTGGCCTCACTTAATCAGTTTCTCCCTGACCCTGCCTTTTTCTCGACTTGTCCTACTACTGAGTACATCAGAATAGGTCAATAAATGGAAGCTCAGGGTAAAGCATCGTGACGAGTGAGTGTCAGTACGACCCCCAATCTCAAAGGCGGGTCCGGTACGCCCCCCCTCCCCAGCCAACAACCAAGAAAATTTTTTTAGTTCTTTCCCAACACAGCAGAATTTCTCTCAAAGGCACAACCCCCCTCTTCCAACGACCAACTACGACCCCCCCCCCTCCCCAGTGAAAAAGTACGACCTCCCTAATGTGTTTCACACAACGATGCTGTACCCTGTGTGCTACACTGGTAGTCGTGCATGGTTTATTCAATACGGCCGGATTTATGTTGAGGGGTCCATCTGTCATTTTCAACAAACGCTTGAAAAACGTCTTTCAGAAGAACAAGATTGTCATTCAATATGCTTTGAGACTGTCAAATGAAGGTGCTTCAGTTTTGAGTAGGCTGAGCGGATGCAATACAACGCAGTCCGGTGACATCGACCACAGAACCGGTCACGTTCTTCGCTAGCCACCTGAAGAAGTAACCTTGTAAGAATATGCTAAAAAGGATCGGGAAGAATCAAAATTAAGACAAACCTTCTTTGTTTGCAATCAATAACCTTTTCAATTCCAAAACCTGAACTTAGGACAGAAGATCCGTCCGTTTCGAGAGTGAATTGGCCGAAACCGCAGGAGGCAATAGCCATACAACGCTTGTTGTTCACGAACCTAGAAGGTAATATTGTATTGAGGTCGTCACCCAGTTATCATCTTGCAATTACAGAATTCAGGTCCTGGAAGTTTAGGGGCTCACCTGATGTTTGGACTGAAACAGTTACCAGTACTGGAACCGATACAGCCATTTTCAATTTTGCCACAACTTCCACATCTGTCTCCTGAATACCGAGTTATTTGCCTGAGAGGTAGAAGGTACTGGCTGTGGGCGGGGCTGCGCAGGCAGATCACCCTCCATCACCCTCTGACCCTCTTCCTGCAGCTTCAGCTCTCCTCAATGGCCCACATCCTATTCGCCTTGTTCAGCCCCGCCCCAGCCCTCCGTGGAATTTCTCTAAATACTAGCGAAATTCTATGCTTACGACGGCGGCTCTCGTTTGATTCGCTATCACGGCGGCGGTGTCTACGCTCAGGGATAAGCTGAAATCGGCTCAATAAGAAGTGGATGCCCTTTATGTGCTTGAACTCACGAATTCGGGCTCAGGCGGGAGTTCGGGAAGTAGAATCGGCTTGACGAACAGAGGAGCTGGATAATATTGTACCGGAGGAGCCTGTGGAACGCCGTAGGTGGCCGGTGGTGCGTAATTGTACTGCGCGTAGACGGCAAACGCAACAGTAGCTAATACGATGACGCGAAGCATCTCTTTGTACTGAAGATACTGAAAGCGGTACAAGTATAGATATCGCTGAGGTGAGCAGTTTGGTATTGGTCTGATACAGTCTTGTTCGCTGCGAAGGATGGGGTGTGTCAGTGACGCCGGGTTTTTCTTTTGTCAGCCCGTCCACCACCGGTTGCTGAAGCGGGTAACCAACAACTGTTGGAGGGAAATTACTACAAACGATATGACAAATTTTTTTATCTGCCTTTGTCGAAAGAAAGGAGATAAAACAGGTTGGCGCTGCGCCAGACCCACTCCGCAGGACACGCCCCATCATCCGCAACCGAGAGAACTGCATGCAAGTGCTTCCAATGCCTCGTCCTGGCTGTGAACGAGAGAAGCTGAGCGACTGAGTGAGTGGGAAAGAAACAGATGGAAAAGAGAAATTGAAAGCAGAAAAAAATTATCAGGCGTCTCCGGCTTGACAAGAGGAAAAATTCTTATTAAAAAAGCCCATAAGTTCAACTGTTGTCTCCGCTTGCTCCTGCGAGCTTTTATACCCCTCTGAAATTCCGACCCTCTATTATTTTGTCTGGGCTAAATGTTAACGGAGAACCGAAGGACATTCACGTGTTGTTTCAGTTGCCCTTGGAATTTTCTAAACATCAAATTGCCCAATTTCGCGCAAGTATAGACGCTATCGATCAATTCCGTGCAAAGTGTTGAGCCCCGAGGGCAAGGGGAAGATTTATGCACCAAATTGAGCCTACAACTTTACCTGATATCTATGTCAGACCGAAGATCATGCCTGCTTTATGTACATTCCACGAACCCTGTAAATCAGTCGATAGAGATTTTGCAACCGGAAGGACTTGTGCTCCCGTGCCCGTAAGGGAGACGGACAAGACAATCGTAATTTGTCGCGTTGTCGCGCCCAACGTACAGTATGGCGATGTCCGCCAGGGCGGCATATGTACGGTTGTTCTTGCCACACACCCGACGGTAGCTACTGCCGGAGCACAGTAGCTCGATCCTGCCCGGCCTGGGTTTCGGGAAGAAAGTTCAGAGAAGACTGCAAGAATTACTCTAAAACGCTTCTTTATCCACTATTCGTTCCATGTTTATTATTTTATTATCATTCGCGCAGGATCCTACATTATATGTAGCGGAACGTGGTTGACTGCAAGGCCCCACTAAATAACTGAAAGTCGCTGTCAACCAGTAAACGACCGCTGCAGAGCTAGTTTTGAGAGTATCCTGCTGACTTTGGCATACTTGATATGCCTTTTCTCTCTTCATGTGCTTCTATTTGCATACATTTACACCCCATGTCCCGAAGACAGAGGGGGTGTGGCCGCGTTCGCCTTTGAAGGTAACAAAAAAAAGCTTCCCAATAAAGTAGTAATATACGATTTTTAAGAAATTCATTGCAATTGTTTCAAATTCCATTTTTGATGGACATACTGGAGGCAATGGCCGGTTATTTTATTATTCTAATTTATCAAGTGGGGTCAATTCAAAGAAGTGGTTCTGTTTCCGTTTCGCACGTGCCCTTATGTTGGACGGAGAACTGTATGAGGTTATTCTCCCTCCTCTGTGCTCTTCAGTGAAGGGAGGAGGGAAATTCTGATGCAAAAAGGTGATTTTATTAGTAATGTTTTATTATTCTAATACATGAATGTGCATTTGTTAAATAATATACGTTATGCATAGTATATGTTAACAAATGAAGATTCAAGCCATGTTCAAATGAAGAACGCCACGCCCTTCCCATCTCAGTGACAGATACTTCATTCTCTTAATGTTCTTGGCTTTTGCCCTATCTTCGAAATATAGAGGATAGCTGTTCGAGAGCGCCGAAATGCTCACACTGCGAACATAACCCCTGATGCGTATAATATTCCGTTTGCACAATTTCGTTGTGTACTATGTAAAAGCGCAATTCACATTTCTGTATTTTTAGGCTTTAAAAGCCTAAAAATCCAGAAATGCCTTCGCCAGCTGCCATGAAGTAGGCCCATCTCCTTCTGCAGTGCTTGACCATTCAGTCAAGAGAAGCGATTCTTAGAAGTGTTCGGTCTTTTTGCTAGAAAGCACTGTTCTGCACCGAAAGTCCGCTCGAAATTCAGGGACCTCATTGAGATGCGTCCGTCATCCCAGTACATGTGGAGGAACGTAAGGAGACGTGGATTTTCCGCCAACTGATGCCATCCTCAACCGGCAACAATTGGTGGAAAAGGCTGTCGTGACCGTGCTCCAAGCCACGCCCATTCACAAGTCCTCTCACTTGCAGTGATTATGACTGAATGTTTTCTCCTAAGGCGAGATGTTCAACGATCAGTTTGTTTTCATTTGATGTTCTGAACATGTGAGATAACGGAATGAGAGCATCGCAACTACATCGAACAGAACACCTTACATCATTTGAAACACAACATTAGCGTTGTTCTCATGTGCTTTCTATTCGTTGAACAAGCACACAACGAGAAGGCACAGATGTTATTGAATTGATCATATGATATTGTTTTATATTTCATCTGTTCGATGTAATGATTCATGAAAATATAAACGACATGATTCGCCCAGAAATCATATGGCAGAGCCGTGTTTTCACTGTCCAGCTGAAACATTTCGGAATTTGATGGAAGGTGTGCAAAGTGTAAGGCACCGTTGAGAATTCTAAAGTGTTGAAGCATTTGTAGGCATAGCGGCATATCATAATACAGCGCATGTCCCGGAAAGGAGTGGGCGTAGCAGCGTACTTCGTTTGGACGCGACGGCGGCAGCGTTCAGTGAGATATTGCCGTATGCGCATGCCTTTATCCAGCACAAGACAGGATCACAGCCGTCTCAAATGGAATCATCCCACGAAAACGCTTCCTACGCCGTGTTCTAATGGGGTACGCAGCCACGCCCACTCCGTCTTAGAGATGTGCAGCGTACGTGGCGAGCTCAGGCACCAGTAAAACTTATTGTGACGCTTTTTGTAGACAAATTATAACGAATTTCTAGAAGAAGTTCGCAGGGTAGCTCATTTTCCAGCACCTGCTGTGGTGGTACTTTCATGCGCATTGTTCGGCGCTGTTAGGCCTCTGTCGTCTTACACTCCCACTTGTACCTCTCGAAAGGTTCATGTTAGTTGACAGGTGACACTTTGGTGAGATTTGTAAACTCCCGAGAAGCTGCGAAAGTATAAGTAAGCGGCCCAGTTTGGCGACGGGAGGGGGTTGAGGCATTTTGCGTTATTTGGTGCTTCCCATCGACGTGTCGACCCATTAAAAGGGCCTCTTTTTGAGTGACAGGTTTTACCATATTGGGTCGGCGAGCGTTGCTCCAGCTTTACAAGAGTTATCAGGCTTCGCCAGAGTGGGACCTGTGTAGCAACTAGAAAGCAAAATCCCCCTTACCCCGTCGCCGAAACTCCGTCTAAGTAAGCCGCTTTGATTTCAGGGCTCTACAGGTCTCCACGAGGTAGCATGAACTTGTGTCGATAAGTGCCATTTGATTAGCCTACCAATCCGAACAGCACCCATTTGATCTGTAGAGATGGCAGCCGATGAACGAGGTACAGTCCTCATCATTACGGACTGTCGGGGCGGCACAGCCGCGCTGCACTGTGACGCGACAGCGGCTGGGTGACGGTGAATCAGCTGATTTCGATGGAATTCGGCTGCAAATTCCTACTTTTTCAGCTCTTCAAGCTTCTAAAGTGGAAGGTGAGTTATTCTGAACAATTTTGAATTGTACTGGCTCTGATTTCCTTTATTTTTATGTCGATTATATGCTCTTTTCCTTGTATTTTGCCTTATTTCAGGCATTTATTCAAATGGCTTGCATTCTTTCAGATTCATTCAGAGTCAGTACAATTTAAAATTGTCAAAATAACTCACCTTCCACTTTCGAAGCTTGAAGAGTTGAAAAAGTGGGAATTCGCAGCCGAATTCCATGGAAATCAGCTGATTCGCCGTCACCGAGCCGCAGCCGCTGTCGCGTCACATTGCAGCGCGGCTGTGCCGCCCCGACAGTCCGTAATGATGAGGACTGTAGCATCCAATATTACAGCACCAACCAGGTGCCAATCAGCTGATTAAGGAATGGCAGAGGGCTTCAATGGCCTTTATAAAACTCGATGTCTAGATCTTCCTCGAAACTCCTTCCTTGGGCCATGAGGACCATGGCACTTTCAGCTTCTACTGCGGCATGTTGGTCCATTAAAAAAGGAATGAACGAACCGAATAGTTTGCAGTGTGCTTCCGTGAATAACAGCACTTTTATGATCCCCTTATTTACAGACTGTCGAATACCAATTGGTTTCACAGCGTTTAATTATTCAGTTCCTTGGGAGAGGTGATGCAGTAGTAACTGATGACGCTTACCGTGCGGACGAATCAAACAGCCAAACCTTCTATTAAATGGTGCCAGACTTGTCTTCACGAAAAATTTCACTGCTGGCCGCTGCCAAGGCATTGTATACGTATAGCCGCACTCAAAGGCCAGTGCGATTCCGAATGGAAGTGGCATGCATGCGCATCGCCGCCGTTCCACTCCGAGAACTGTTGATTACAAGATCTGATAAGCTTGCTGTAATTGACGCTCATAGTTACAGCATCTACTAATTACCTACTTGGGTGACCTTAAGTCGGCTTTATGATGATGTGTCAACAACGTGTTAACAATAGCGGACTGCCGTTTTGCGAAGAGCCCCGCCACCTTTTTTTCCATTCCTAAATTGGGAACCAGTAATTTCTTTTTTAATTTCGTACGAGATATGTGTATTCCGTGTGCAAAAACATGTCCTGATGACTTTAGTCCATATGGCAAGTAGAATATATGAACCAACACGGAAAGAAAATTGCATGACACACCATGTGTGTCATGCCATCCGCGACTTGTTAAGTGAGTTTCTCAGGTGTTGACTACGTGGAAAGCGTATTTGCGTACATATGCGCGTGTACGATGAGAGGGTGTAGAAAGGGTAAGCGGTCGTCAGCCGCTAACCATTGTGTGTGCGCTTGATTAGCTGCTTTTGCATGTGAATGTGG